CCCGAGTGATGAAATCAAAGAGCGAGAAATAACTGAGGAAATTGGAATTATGAACACCATTTTCATGTTCTACTGAAATATACTAATTGGTAACAAATTTCATCTAATATGACAACACAAAACAACTTGATTGTCGYCTTAAATGGGGATTTTGATACTATTGAAAAATACAGTTATACATTTTCTCAAGAAAAGCTTTACAAACATTGAAAGTAGCCGCGGCGTTTCGTTATATAATCAACTATAACTTCACCTTGAAAAACAAAGTATTTTGATATTAATTCTCGTTCTATGATAGGGCATTAGCTCTGATATGTAGAGTGCTTTTTTTGGTGCAAACAAGCATACCTCTCTTTCAGTTCCAATCAGAATTTATACACTGGTATAAGCATTCTTTCCCRAATCTTTGTGTTACTTATGATTGCAAGAAGACTACGCGAAGACAGCATGTAATTTCATTTTTAACGACCACTTTACMTTKTCAATTTGTGCTTCTATTTTAAGTTGTTTTTTAATATCTACAGCTCGGCAGTGTTTGACACCGACAATCAGAAAACTCCTCTTGATAACGTTATGCGAAAAGATTTAATCTATAGGCACCACCCAACCTTCGTATCCTTAACTGATCTCAAATGAATAAAAATGGAAATTACAGCTAATTTTGTATTTCTGAAATCTTTTAAAAGATCCTTAATATCCTTTAGAAATTCTATGTATGATATATTGCTGTCGAAGACCRAGCGCGGGCTCTCAAAACCACACGGGAAACTTTTGACTCTTTTTGACAGCAAAATGGCACAAAGTAAAGTATTTGTAAGATTTTATCATAATGAGTTGCGCCTATCAATACCTACCTCTTACTGAGATGAAAAATCTACATAAGTTATCTCACAGAATTCAAAAATATCATTAAAAAATACTGGATGGGTCAGAAATGAATTTAGAACGATCTTTAATCTTTTAAGTAACCCATTTTATGTGCGGAAGGCCTAAGGCCAGCACGACACTACATGACCTACAAGTTAATTTTCTTTATTTTCGACAAAACGTTGCTCGAAATGTCATAATTAAAGGGCCCTTCTGAGCAGGTAAATTAAAATTGCCACTTTAAAACTAATTTCTCTAAAAACGGATTACATGTACGCAGCACGAGACCCGCCTCCTAAAATCAGCTAGTGCAATTTCCTATGTCAGTCTTAACACTTTTGACGCTTCGTCCTGTTCAATAGTTACATTCATAACGTACATGGTAGCCCAATTACGGTTGGTCGTCATCACCACATCACAAGAAGAGATGGGTAGAAAAAAGAAAAAAATCCTTGGAAAACATGGATTAGAAGCCTGTGAAATGAGACATATGTTTGCGCTTGTGATTCTATCGATAAAAAGAAGTCATACAGACTAATAAGTGTTGCATAAGTGTTCTTTGTACCTTTTTTGCACTAATTTATCAAGCGTTGTTAACTTTTTTTACCTTTTAATTTGCAGTTGTTAAGAACTGACCTCCCTCACCGCTCACGCTGGTTGTTATACGTTAATTAATAGTAATATGCAGATATGCACCTGTCTAAGTTTAGTTTGTAGACAGTCTCTTGGTAACAGCACGCACATGACAAGGAATACAAATACGGGGACTTGTGATGCACATATTGCACAATTTCCCATCTGTTAATTGTTAAACAAACCTTCCCACAACTTATTTGCGAGTTAGTGCTTTATTAGAATAACCTCTACCTACTACAATAATTACACTAGCCATGTACTTACATAAAGCGCTGAAGTACTTTTATTCAGAGTAGTCAAGGCCTCGAGGTCTTTCTTATCTTCTCAGTATAAATCAATTAAGTATGTTTACTTTGTGAATTCGTGTTATCCCGAAGCAACCTTCCTGAGCTGATAGTGGTTGAAGGAAAGAGAAGCGATAGAAAAGAAATATTATTCTTTGATGGTTACTTTGTGTGGGATTCCTTTGTAAAATCGCAAGCCAGGGAGCTGCCTGTGCTAGGGGCGACTAGAGTGACTGACCGAACGAACTGAATAGTAACGATGCCATGAATCACCAGAAAAAATCGCGCACTTTAAAAGTTGTAAATGTGATGTAAATATAATGTAAGTGTCCAAAATAATCAAATTTACATCATTTTGGACACTTTTACATCATATTTACATCAAAATTACAACCTTTAAAGTGCGCGATTTTTTCCAGTGATACAAGAATAAGTGATTGAACGAATGAAAGTCGCCGGGAAGAATAAATGAACAGATGAATAGAAGGATAAATTATCATTTTTTCAATCAATATCAAGAATAATGAAAACCTGTTCAATAATGATTTCCGCCGATACATCTACAAAGAGTGAGCGCTTTTAGCGGAACCACTACCGCCAGTCTTTCAGACGCTTAGTTTGCATTAAAATGGAGACTTATTTCGAGTCATATTGTCGGAGTTTAGCAATTATTGTCCCACTGCACTGTGTAGTTCTGTAATTTATGGTAGGATGAGGAACAGTCAATAAGTCTCACGAAGAATCATCTAGTTATATCCCAATGTTCCGTCTTCTTTTAGCGTTTTATACACTCTCAACAATGCAAAAAATGCTACTCAAACGTACCAATACCTCGCACTATCTCAATATCAGCACCGACTTAAGACCTTAAACTAAGTCTAGCATTTATGCGCATCAGATCGTTACTATTCCGTCATCAATAAGAACTTAAGTGATTTTTCAGTAATGTTGATTAGGTTTATTGAATATACTATCTGCGATCAGTTCCTATGAGAGTGATAAACGAAATACTCTTATTTAATAAAAAATTACTACGGAAATCAAGGCCCCGGGTTAAAGCCGGTAAAAGATTAACAGAATTTCATCAAAAGCGAGAACATATTACATATGTCTAAACCAAATGCTTTCGGGAAGCCAATAATATAGGGTGTTAGCTCATCCGCGTAGACGTAATATCAGTAAAGGCTAAAACAACTTGAGTATAAAATTATTGACTGTAGCAATTGGAAAGGTCATGGAAATGTATTGAGTAGAAATGAAATGCATTATTAAAAGGAGAAGAAATCCCTTTCTCCCATCCCTTCCTTCCTTTCTTCCATCCCTATGTATCCATTTATTAATTCTTTTCCTTTAAGCGCAATATATATATGATAATTATACGATAGTTTGATGAGTAGAGTTCATGGCAAGCCCTTATTAAGTCCAATTCACATTTCATTGCATCGTAGAGAAAAAATGCTCCCTAGCTTATAGCCTTAGCTTTCCCAATCACCGCCATGCATCTCAAACTAAAATTCTCACCTCTACGCGACGGAAAGAAATCGCTTTTTCTGTCTTAGGAACGTCTTGCTTGATCAAACCTTCGAGAATTGTTAATCAGACATCAATTCAGATCCTCTTATATATCCCATTGGACATGCCACTCCTCGACGTCAATACATCCGTCATTTCCACTTTGTAATGACCACCATTATTTACTTACTGAATTATTGCCCTTTCAATGCAGCTGACAGGTTTACCTCTATATAATTTATAATATAATTATATATGATTTCTAGTTTACAAAACAAATTAAAAATACCATGAAACTATAATACATTAACAATCTTGTTGAAGATTGAACGATTGAGATTCGAACAATTTACTCGGTGCCTTGAGTCATTCAACCCCCTCTCGCTTTCCCCCAGTCGCGGCGAATCGCACACGAATCAACTAGTAAACAAATATTTACATCTCGATAGTCCTCACATTATTAGATAGTTGTTGATATAAAGATATCTTGCTTGAACAAGCCAGTGACAATTAATTTCCGTACTGAATTTCTCGTATTTATTGTTTATTGCCAGGGCCTTGTATAATATGCTCGGGAACCTGGAATAATCCTCTCGCGCTCTTTCCATGGTTCTTTAGGATGCTAAAGCGATTAGGAAATACACTTTAAGGGCTGGTCGGTATAAGGAGAATTCTTTCAAATAATGTTTTTTGAGAGGCCGCGAAAACTGAGTATAGCGAAATGTCGATCATTTGACTGACGCCACTCAGATGAAATTTGACACTCAGCTTCACTTTGCTTAAAGTCCATAGAACATTTAATAAAAAATTTAAATGAAGGTAAAAAAAACATTTTTATATTCATAGTTCTCCCTTTTTCTATCGTTTCTGTCAATTTTTCCCTTAATTCCCTTTTGCCTAAATTGAAGTCGTTTAATCCTGATGTGATAGAATAAAAAAATGTGATGATTAACTGAGACAGGCAGTAGAAGTCAAAGTATATTTCAAGTGCTACTTGCATGAAAATGGCCTTATTTCAAAACTTCAAGCAATACAAATATATGACTCATTTATATCTATTAAAAACAATTGCGGGAAAATATTTGTCTTGGAATTATCCCACATCAGAGAAATTTAGATTCAAAAGATGGAAGAACAAAAGGATTGAGTAAATGACGTCATCTACTCCAACATTTTTTGCCCAAATTATTAAGGATTTGCATCAATATTTTCTTGAAATCTGTTGCTTCATGATTATTACACCCATATGGATAGGTCTATTTGATTTCCAAGTCTTTTCTAATGTTTCGCAATTTTCGTCCGAGTACCCCTTGAATTCAGGAAACACGCTTTACTGGTTACCAGGACCACGCGTTCAGAGCTCTATATTTAGTCAGCTTATGGTTTGTGTGGGTTTTGTGCATGAAACACAAAAAAAATAAATTTTGAAAGAGATTAGATTAGAAGTAGGATTCTGAACACAAAACATCGAATACAATGGAGTAATTATCAATGTTTCATCTACAGAGGTATTTGCATACAAGGACTACAAGTCAAGCTATACTGAGCTAGCTTTAAGACCAGTTTTCACTCCCTTGGTTGCTGGGTTGAAGTCGTCGTTTTCACATCTCTTTGCAGATATTGCAATACTGCTTCAAGCCATTGTGGAAGGTAAGCTTATGACTCAATTCAGATAACTTGGGATTGATGACGAACTTAAGTGCTGTTTTCCTTTTTAAAAACATGTGAATTTGCCATGAATCTTAAAGCTGTATACTTCACATAACTGAAAAATAATTTATCTCATGTTAATCTTGAATATGATATTAGATTCATAAAGGTCCCAATAACGCATCGTAAATACGTTTTTAGAAAATATAAAATTGTCAGAAATTCTTAAAATTACTGACTGATGGCTCAGTTTTGACAAAGTTTTTTTGACATAGTGTCTTTCTTTATTATGCATATTTTGAAAAATACTTTTCGAGAAGAATGGTTGCCAGCAACTACGTCATAATTAATATTTTTCGTTTCTTTAATGAACACGCGGGAATATTACATGTGAAATGTAAAATTCTCGCATTACCTTAGCATTTTTAAAATTTGTAACATTTTTTTCGAGCAGAGAGACGTATTCTTCTAGAATTGTTTACGGTTTTACAGAAAACTGAATCGCAAACAACGTATTTTTGTTCATAAATGATTGTTCTATTTTGGGCTTCCTGTTTTTACTAGATTTACCGGAAGTGCATTCTCCGGAAGTGAGTTGTAATGTTTCCTCAGCGGTGTCCTTCGTAGCCATGCGCTATCGAAGTGAACTATGAACTCATGATCGAATTCAATCACACACCAAAATAGAAAGAAGTGTCTTCTTTTAGCGAATGAAATGTCGCGAAAACTTGAACGAACTTCTTAAACTAGAACATACATTAACTGTTTAGATGTCTGTTGCAGAACCAGGGCGTCAACTCGTTGACTTCGTGTCTGAAGGCCGAATCAATGGACCCGACGTGGTTCCCTACCACGCGGACCCTTACAGCACTGCTATAATCTCAGGATCGACGAAAACCAAGAAATATCACGACAATCGATCGTCGGAGCAAAGACCGCTATTAGGCAGAAGCAGGTCTCGTAATATGGAAAGTTGTAGTGATTCTGAGTACGGTTCTAATGTAATAGATGATCCAGAATTTGCAGCCATAATACGATCCGTTGAGCAAGCCATTGATAATGGGATCCTGCCACAGCGCATTTATCAGGGATCTAGTGGAAGTTACTTTGTGAAAAATAAAGAAGGGGTAGGTATTTATGTGGTATTTATTATATAATCAAGCTAGATATTAGRTGTCATTATTAAACAGATCTACTTTGGTTGGTAAATCATGTAAGTTACACCACTGTTGATTTGCTACATTCATCGTTTTTATCTCCATTTCCGGCTTTGTCTTAGTCATTTCTATTCCCATTTCTTATATTTGTGTCTTTTGTTATCCCTGGAAGGAGCGCTTAGCTTGTTTTGAACAGTCTGATAAGCATGTATTATTCATGTCGTCTTTCGTACCAGAAAGTACAAGCCAAAATCACCCCGTTCTGTCACTGAATGAAAACAGCAAAAGTAGGAAYSGCAGTTGTCATTTAAGTTGACTAACCTTACTTTCGTTATCATCTGCATTATGAACTTTGTKCGTGTCTCATTCAAAATAAATGCCTGCTTTACTCAACGAAAGAAAACCTTAAAAAAAATATTTTGACAAATGGTGCATTTATCAATTGGTTGACTTTTTGCAATTTAATTAGCAGCTTTTGTTTAATTTGTTTTGCTTTTTGAAAAGGTGAAAGAAAAATCAGTGTATGTATTAGTTATATGTGCAAGTTTTCTCGTCTTTTTGATATGATTTTCAGGTAGTCATAGTATGTTTTATGTCAAGTTGAAATTCACCTGCTGGAAATTTTCCAAAATCTCTAACTTGTCATGGTTGCATGCATTTTGTTATCATGTATTGCTGCTTYGTAATAAAAGCATTTAACACGGAAATTACTCAGTGTACAGTTTTGTACAAAGAAATGCAGTTCATAAGAGATTGTGAAAGAAAAAAAACAGGCTTTGGATTTTATACAGCAGGGATATGGGAGGAGCATGGAAAATTGTATTGAGATTGTTGTGATGTTTGATGTTGCTTGCKTAGATTGTGCATTGAATCSATTTGATTAAATCTCGTCTGTAAAAATTTGGCTKTGTTAAAATCTAAGCTTGTTTTCATCCACAGAAAACCGTTGGAGTTTTCAAACCWAAGGACGAGGAACCCTATGGTCATTTAAACCCTAAATGGACAAAATGGTGTCATAAAGTRTGCTGTCCTTGTTGTTTTGGTCGTACTTGTTTGGTTCCTAATCAAGGTTACTTATCAGAAGCTGGAGCAAGTTTGGTTGATACAAAAATAGGTTTAAATGTTGTTCCCAAAACAAAGGTAAACCATTTATTGTTCAGTTGGTAGTAATAGTAGTTATAGTTAAGGTGGTTGTGTAACAGTTTGATAAAAGTAAATATTTCATTGATTCTGATACATTATTATTTCTATTGTAGGTAGTTCGGCTAGCAAGTGATACGTTTAATTATACTCCTTTTGATCGGGCTAAGGCAAGATCCAAAAAGTTTGCTACAGAAAGATTTCCAGATTCTTTAGGAAAACATGTTAAAGCTGGCCTTCCTCCAAAGGTAACTGTCTGGAAACTAAAAAAATCATTGTCTTATAAACTGATAAATTTTTTTCTCACTAAACTTCTGTTTCATTGGTAGATGGGGTCTTTTCAATTATTTGTTGAAGGATACAAGGATGCAGAATATCACATMAGACGCTTTGAGTCTGAACCACTTCCTTCAGCAACACTTCATGACTTCTTAATTCAATTTCAAAAGATGGTGTGTCTTGATTATGTTATACGAAATACAGGTTAGTAAATTGACTATTCATTATAGTTACTACGATATAAAGAAAAATGTTAGGGGAACAGTGGTTCTAAATTGGCACAAGGCAGCTATATTTGTAGCAGTTAACCAAATTATTCTGAAATTCATCTRATGTGTGTGCAAGAAATATTTCTTCCTTACATTCAGGATTACAACTGGGTAGCATAGTGGCTCTGTGTCATGCAATGGAAGCTACCACAAAAATTTTATGAACCGATATTGTAGTTATCTTGCAATAGTTATACCATTGCATACAGTCTGGATTGATAAGGGCTTTAATGGGGATTTTAGAGTAAAGCACTTTTACAGTCTGTGTYATCAGCTCTTGTGGTTTTGAGATTACACAAAGCTGTCTATATTCAAGTGTTCATAACTAGAAGCTATTTCATTTTGACATGATAAGTAATTTATTTTTCTTTTCACAGATCGAGGTAATGATAATTGGCTTATAAACTATGAAAAGACACCTGAAATAGATGAGTCTGTCAAGATTCAAGGAACAGAAGAAGGGGTATTTGATATTCATATTGTATTGAACTTCTTAATAATAATTTTTACTAAACATATTTTTGTTTTTCTACTCAGGAGACTGGATGGGATGTTGTAAATTCACCAAAAATATATGTAGCTGCCATTGATAATGGTTTAGCATTTCCCTACAAGCACCCAGACTCATGGAGAGCTTGTAAGTTTTTTTGTTTGTTTTATTCTTCATTGCTCAAAATGTGTTCAGAAGTCTGAGCTTGGTTAACCCCCTTTCTCCTCATGGGCTCCCAGACTATTATTCTTCATTGCTCAAAATGTATTCAGAAGTCTGAGCTTGGTTAGGTTGACTGTATTTTGACAAGTGTCAATCATGAAGTTATATCTGGAGTTTTCAAATTCATTTAACATAACAAATTCAGTATTCATTCCCATTCCACTTTTCACTTATCCATTTATTCATTCCCACTGAATGGTGTTTTAGATCCATTCTATTGGGCATGGCTGCCCTATGCCAAGGAGCCATTCAAAGATGAAGTGATAGACCTCGTTTTACCGAAACTCTCCAACATGAACTTTGTACAGGACTTAACAGATGACCTGTACCACTTGTTTAGGGTAAGATAATATATGGAATAAAACATGTTTTGCTGGTTTGTAAGTGAAGAAAGTGGACGAGCAGGAATTTATGAAAAGAAAGAGTGCATTGAGTGCGTTTTTGGCTTTTTAATTGTTCTTTTACATTTGTAAAAGCCCAAATACTGACAGGTTTTAACTGTTTTTTAGGAAGATAAAGGGTTTGATAGGTCTACATTTGAAAAACAGTTAGCAGTTTTAAGAGGGCAGGTTGGTAAAACAATCTTTGTTTCGAAAGTCGCCATCATGATGTATAGTTAACCTATATAATCAATCAGTCAGTTARTTAATCAGTCAATTAATCAATCGATCAATCAATCAATCAATCAGTAAATCAATCAATCAATCAATCAATCAAAAGATCAATCAACCAAGTCAWTCATTTAATTGTAATTACATGCATTTATGTCCAACAGATATTGAATCTCAGCCAAGCTCTGCGGGATAAAAAGTCTGCCCTACAATTAGTTCAAATGCCAGTAGTAACCGTCGAAAGAAAACGATTCGAAGGTGATGACTTACACAGGAACCCCGACAGGAGCCACAGCGAAGCATTTACCCAAAGCTTCCAGCACCGGCCCCCGTTCTTTTCTTGGTGCTGAAGGGCAGGGTTCCAAAATTTATTTGAAATGGAAAATTCAATTGAACTATATTGATATTTCAGTATGTAAATTTTATAAAAAAATTCATAAAATTCCACGTTTGGACAAACGTTTATGATTGCAGAATCGTATGTTTATTCATACGAAGACAGCTGAAATAGTTTATGATAATGAAATTAAAGAAAGATTACAAGAAAATGATCACACAGCCAAGAAACAAAAGAACTAGATTTTTTAAGTGTGCTTTTCATCGATCTCGTCCCTCGAACTACAAAAACGCGGAAAAGTACCTGGGAGCGAGGTTATGATTCATATGCATATTTTGCATCACGTGACCAAGGCTAAACAGGTTAGTCTAGTTTTAGAGAGTTACATACAATAAAAACCAAATTACTTTGCTTTTTTAGTGATGTTAATTCTTTACTATACGTACGGACCTAAAGTGTTGTCGGTTGGAATACCGTACACCCCCCTGACACAGGAATTATTACGTCATTTAGAACCAAAATTGCACTTGCTATGTAATAGCTYCCACCGACCAATGTTCGCGCACTTTCAGGTGAAATATATAGGATGATGGCTGGTCAACGACAGTGTAAATATTATAGAAAACTGAACTGAGTAGAGACTTRACCGTTTTATTTTCGTTATTTGGACCTTATAACTGAACAAAGTTTGAGTTGAACTCCAGACTAGACTATTATCCGCTTTTCAGTTTTACTCGGCTTACTCGTGCTCACTCGTGTGTCAGGGTACAATGTGTGTTGCATTGCTATCTACACCCACATGATAAAAAGAACAGGTTTATATTACACTTCTATATGTTCAAGGCAGCTCAAAGTCTATCGGTCTGATATACGAAATCATATAAGAATCACATGATGACATGCAAATGCATATTAATGTCATACTAATAAATAACAGTCTCAGATTTACATGGGCAAATATATGATTATTTCAATGGATTATATTGTTTTTCTACGCGACGTTTTCATCTGGGGCACTGCAATGAACGTTTTTTTTTGGGGGGGCCTACCGTAGGTTATATCCCAGTCGATCATTTATTCTCTTCCCTTAAAGGGTTTATTTCTACTTCAACACTATGTTGGGATTYTTGCTATTCCTTGAAATCTTTGAAAAGACTTAGAATTGAAAATGTTCTTTCAAAAGCACGTGAAAAGCCCCTGATTGTAGCGAGGGTGTGGGGTATCACTAGAGATTTTGGAATTATTCTCATAGCAGACTTTATTTTCATTGTTTTCTTTGTTCAACTTATTTATTAAACGCAAATTATTCTGTCACGGGTTTAGTGTGACGACCCTAAGATTCACATAAGCTTTTAAATTCSTTTATTGTTTTGTATTTAGTTGAGTATTAGCCTTATCACATTCCACATGTTTACAGCGTCTAATGTGTTCACTCTAAGATGATTCTAGTTCAAGTTTTGCTACCGTTATGGGAAAGCTTTCAAGTGTAATTTTACCATTTATTGGCTATTCCTACAGTAGTTACATCCCTATTGTTTCAGATTCAGTCATCGTTAAGTTTTTGAACTGTATTAGAGAAAACTTGACACTGACATGAGGTACGAATTTCTTTGTCTTCGACGTCGTACATTTGAGAGTAAATTAGCTTACTACGGTTGTTGCTCAATTCTTGGTTCATCTCATACATATCKGTCAATCTTATGGCTGGAAACATCACCTGTCTCTGAATGCACAACCCTGAGTTCCAGGCACACATTTCATCTTCCTGGACACTACCTGAAGTGTTGGCTGGTGRGACTTTGTGCTTGCAGATAAGCTCGTTAAGGTATGATGGTCTGAAATTGCTGGCTAGGTGTGTCACCACGTGGCATTCACCGCATAACCGATATCGATTGGTACTTACGTTACGGCTACTGCTAGTTTCTGTGTAAATCAGTRCACCTCTATCGCGACATATTTTTTTGCCTTCTATAGCTCTCTTCGTAAGTACAGGAACATGCTCATCGTTAATTTTTGTGTCATCAAAATCATTGTTGCTTTGATCGTTTTCTTTCTCTTGAGTTTGCGCACTATCGTCACCAAGCCCCCAAGCGCGTCGTTTACGTTGCCAATGTCGTCGTCGGGTTCTTCTGCGTCGCCATGGGTACGTTGGTCTAGTCCTTCGACGTCGGTATGGTCGTGTTCTGCGTCGTCTATACGGTGGTAAGGTCGTCGGAGGTTGGGTAGTGGTCTTTGCCGTTGTAGTCGTAGAACTAGTAGGTACAGGGGCCGAGGAGAATAGTCTCGGGTCCTTGAAATTCTGGGCATCGCTTTCGTTCATAGCTACATATCGAGGATTATAACCACCTATGTTTTTTAAGATTTTTAAAAGTTTGTGTTCAGTAGGTTGAGCGCAGATGAATTTTCCAGAYGGCATAGAATTGTTGAGAAGATCTTCACGTGTTACAACTCCGCACTGGCTCAAGCGTATAGTGCGTGGTGGGGTTGTTGGTCGGGTTGTTGGTCGTGGGGTTGTTGTAATTGGTTGGTACTTATATTSATTTCTAGCTTCAACACAAGAAAGGACAATGGCCAATACAACCAGGATAACGATTTCCTGGTGAAAATGGTTAAAAAGATCTCATTAGATTACATATGCATATAATACTTTAAGGCATGGGTGCGGTGTAATAAAAACACAACAACAACAACAACACCGACAGCAACAACAATAATAGCAACAGCAATAACAACAAAACGGTCAATTACATAGCAACATTAATCTTCACATTTATGACAGCAGGCCGGTAGTTTTCTAAATGTTTCTTTATCGGCAAAAATAAATTGTCATTGATTCCGATCGGTTTTTGTCATCACGGTATAATGTAAACCAAAGACAATCGATATAGCAATATAATTGATGAATCGCTATCATTTCATTTGCATGATTTGGATTTCCGCCTTTTCAAAAACGCCTTTAAGAACAATAGTCAATCAACAATGGAGTATAAAATTAGACCACGTACAAGAAGGCATATTAACTTAAAAATACTTTTGCCCAATAAAAACTAACGTAAAAATGCCAAACAAGSGGGAAAAGAATAGATTTAACACTATAGACAACCTACTATACGTTATTATACTCCATTGTTTCCTTTTGAGTCTGYAGTTTTGACTTCGATACACTAACTGTTAGATTTTGTTTCACAGATTTAGCGAGCGRTTTTCAAAAAACCACATGTACAAGAGGCGTGTAGTTAAAGAGTATTATACCAAAAAGACAAAGAAAAAAGTACAGTACAAAGTGCAGTACGCCTAAAATTAATAAAAGTTATTTCAAATACAAATTACAAACTACCGATACGCTGAGTAAAAAATAACTCCATTTCAGGGATCTCAATCGATAGTTGTGAGGAGTGTGGTATTTAAAAAGGTCTGCGGATTGTTGGTCTACAATATTTAGTAAAAAAGCAAGTATTTCGGATAATTTAGTGTCCTTTAGTAATCTAGTTCCGTGTAGAAAGCGAGTCTTTTACTACGACAAGAAGCAGCTTTTTTAATAAATCGCGGTCCAATTGACTTCATTAGACTAAGTGACTCCAGTCAATGTTATTGGGACCGAAAACGATTCAGTTTACATAAGATTTTCGTATCTGTCTTTGATATAACATAGTCAGCGACCACTCTTGTATTTTACGCTATAAACATCTTAGTAAATTAAGTAGAATTGAATTTTTCTAGATAGAGTTGTTACCTTCAGATGCATGTTACCCAGTTAATTCTGAGTTAACTGTTAGAAGAGTACAATTTTAAAGAGTCTGTAAGCTATTGTAGATGTATCTTCAACCAAGTCTTCCTTATGCTAGAGGCAACAGAACTATAATTCACGAGCTAATGTTCCGCTTTTATAATTGACGAAAATAACTATTTTTCAAGTAGAAGTCTTGATTTTTGCTATGACGACTGCATTCTTCATTCGACAGAAGTTCATTAACTTGATTTATTAAAGCTAAATATTGYTAGTTTTTGTTACTTTGGTCAATTTAGAAAAAAGTAATTACATAAACTGTAGGATTCTGTAGTATGTAATAACGTACTTTTATGAATATAAGCGCAGAACGGCGTACTGACGCACTCAGTACTGTTTCTAGGAGAAGCCTTCTTTTGGAGCCAGTCATGCCAACACCGAAGCAATGCATTTTGTTCATAGCTTCATAACTCCGTTTATACATCAGAACTGGTGAATTTAATTTATTCATATATTCCCCCAATTCAAAACGCATTTCACATGTATTCAACAAGTCGTGAGTTTGTACCCGACACGTTATGTATACGCCCTCTGAAAACCTATTGTCGACGTGTGGAATTTGACGCCTTAGGTGTACTTTGTACTGTTTTGATGTCTGGTTGGTCTCTTGTTTCGTTTTTGTGAAAAAATAACAGGTCAAAAAGCCATGATAATATTTAATTTGGCAGCTACTTTGACTAGAAATCTAATAACAAACTGTATGTTGATAAATAAATAAAAGGCCAGAAAATACAAAAGAGATGACCAGGATTGTTTTTATCATGACCTTCCAGGAATCTAAGACAACAGATGGGCGTATTTTATTTCCAATATGGTAGAAAAGTCTCCTTTTTATWAGCGAAACAATGCAACGATTTTTTTCATTCATTTTCGATTTTATCGTGATTTGCCATTAAAAAAATCTTAGTGGCGGATTAGAGTATTGACATCTGAGGTGATTGAATGGCCAATATAAGTTTCAATTACCATCATTGTCGCGCGTATTGAACTCTTCTAACCTTACCAATGYCTACAGCTTAATATGTTCCACCAAGCAACTACCCTTAATTAAAAATGGTATTCATAGCCGGCTGTTTTACTTTRGAWTGCCCAGTTTGCTGCAAACGCTATAACAGCTTGAATTCTCCTATCTAAACAATCTGGCAATATCTTTTGTTCTGATCCAATTATGTCAGTGTTCAACTATCGCGGATTTGCTGGCTTGCGAYTGAATGTACATTTCATTATCGGATTTTAAAAAGCGCCGCATTTGTCTGTTAGCATCAATTGTCCGGATAAATTAGGAATAAGAGGTCGAATATGTCAATATGTATGACGAGGATATATTTGGTGAAGTATCTTAGACAAATATTTGCCCCCAAGACTCTAGATGGTTGGTGCTTATATGTCCACAATATAACGCAAAAAATATATGCTTGTAGTTTATTTCTGAAGTATTTTACTAAATCGTTTACATTCAAAGACTTAAGCATGTTCTTATGATCTTATTTAAAGTTGAGYTGTCAACCTTGAAGTAGTTAAATTACATACAGAAAACGATGAATATTACATGGCCAATTACTGTATTAAATTTGCCGTTGTGTATATGGATAACGACTCCAAACACAAACACTGCCTCTAAACGACTGTGTCAATACTTTATATCTCCAAGGTTACTCAAACTGAACATCAAAACATCATATTCATAACGACTAAATTATCGGCACTCAATCTCTTGTGAATTGTCGCAGCTGTTTACCTTTGCGGGAATAAAAATCGTCTTCCTTTTTCRATATACTCTTCCTGGATGTTTTAGGACTCGTCGAGACAAGTYTTGGCAAATGTTAGACGACTGTGTAGAATAGAAACAAATGCGTCACAGCGAATCGAAACGTTTTATACTTTCAAATTTCATTTTGTTGACTTTTGTATAGATGCAAATTGCAAATTTCCATAACAATGCTAAACATTTATCATCCATTCCAGTCACACKGAATGCACGATTTAGAAAGATTTGACAAAAACAAAGCTAAATCTTTCATGCTAATGCRAGTGTTTACCAAGTAACATCATCTGCCTTCGCTCAGAGAGGGTTTAAAGMTACAACCTATGACCGTATATGGGTATAGACTATGAGAAACGTCATTTGCATAAGCATCTAGTTGAGTAATGAAAAATTTATAAGCAAAGACAAGGATATCAAATGTGAACCCGCTCAATTCGGAAGAAGAAAAACATTGAATTGTTCGTCTTTTGCCGTTTATTCTCGATTCATTTGAGGAGCGTACWCCGTTAAAGAATATCTTAACGATACAAGCTGTAAAGAAGGCGACTGTAAGTAAGAATTTCGTCAAAAACGCGATTCAACATGGGAGAACAGCAACCAGATCCATATTTTGAAGTCATCATGGATGAAGACTTGGCCAACAACGAATGGCCGCGAGGTCTCGACGAAGTCAAAGCCAAAGGTACTCAATGTATTGCT